CACATTATATTTTACTGAGTGTTTTGATAAGAAAGATAAATAGAAAAAATATAAATCAATTGTTTTAAAAACAATTGTTAAACGGTCTTTCCCCTCCGAAACATGATTAATTGGTTTTTTGGTTGGTTAGTTGGTTGGTCGGTCGGTCGGTCGGTCGATCGATTGATTGATTGATTGCATGGCACTTTCTCTGTGCGACGCAGCTAACTTAAATAACGCCTATATTCTGACCGAACGTGACTGCGTACTTAGACATCCCGCACAGCCAAACGGACGCCTGAGATGTCCTCATAAAAATTGATCCTAGCATCATTCGTTTATAAATTTTCTCTAGTTTCTATGTTACCTCGGACTTCCATTTTTCATCTATTTGTTGTGTATGCACTTTGATTGAATTTGTAGGAAAACGGAGTAAATTTTATCTTGGAAGTTTTATTTTCCCTCATTTGGATATGCAATGTTTTATTCTAAATTTAGGTCCGCGCGCGAGATGGTGTTGTGAAGTCTTGGAAGTTTTATTTTCCCTCATTTGGATATGCAATGTTTTATTCTAAATTTAGGTCCGCGCGCGAGATGGTGTTGTGAAGTCACGTGACCCTCGAATATATATGTCTGGAGTTAGAATATTAATTTCTTTTCAGGGGAGACCGTTGAACAGAGCACATGTGTATTGATCAAAGAAACACGATAACTATTGTTTTTATTTTGTACAGGTCATTGATGTCGGATCATGCATACATATTACGTACACATGTTTACGGGAGCACAGATTTGTATTTTAATGCATGTTTAGAAATTTGAGTGTAGGATTTCAGTAATACATTGATTTTAATTTCGCAATCAAGCGGACCGCACGTGCCTCATCGATTACTTTCAGAAAATACATGAATTGGAGCAGATTTTTGCAGGGATGGATTTCTATTTCAGAAAGAAATTTGTACATAAGAAGGATTAGCATTTTACAGTATAATGTACGGGACTAAAAGCGATCTTCTTTTCTTTGAAATGGGATAACTTAAAAAAAAAATCAGTTGAAAAAAAGGGGGGGGAGTGTAGTGGTAGACTGTGGTTCATTATTGAGATAAGAAACATTTACAACATGATAGCTGCAAAGTTTGAAGTTTTGATAAGTAATTTGTTGATTCGACCATAACAGGGACATTGACCCTGCAATAAAATGACGCGTACCATTTTGACCAAAAATTTCTAGTTAACACGTGTCGCGACAAACTTTTTGGTTAAATTGTTTTGTCGATATCTATATCTCTTTCTAGGAAGAAGCCATATGAACCTAATGTAAAAAATCACAACATGACCTTGACCTAGTTTTCTATTCTTTAGGACCAAGGACCTCAAATCAAAAGACCCTAGGTCTCTATCACTTATGTTTTACCAGTTACAAATGCATATCACTTATTTCAAATGCATTAGGGGAAATAACTCTCATATGGAGTCTTCGTATCGCTTCCGTCAAAATTGGAAACAAATCCTGAGGATATAGCGAGCCATTTGGTAAAATAAATTTGTCGCTTTCTTTTACGGTTATGGAGGAGATGCAGTCACAAGGAAAACAGTGTTCAGGGAGATAACTCCTACAAGGAAAATTGTTCGGCTTAGAATGGGTGAAAATAAAAAGCGCATAAACTGTATGATACTATATAAGAAATATCTAAGCGACATCTTGCGAAACAAAAAATTTTACGCGAGAACAAAATTAGGCAGAAGAAAAAAATAATAATTATAATAATAATAATAATAATAATCAGAACAAATACAATAGGTCTTTCCACAGAAAAGTGGAAAGACCTAATAAATATGCACTGAAGGTATGAGAAAATAGGAGCCTAAACACCGATTTAAAAAAATTATGGTTTCTATGTAATTTCACTTGAAATAAGGGTAATTATTAGCTACTTTTGTTTTAGGAAATTTTACTACTGATGTCATATGAAAGGATATTTAATACTGAATAATAAATATATGGTTTCTATATACTTTTCCTTAAAAAAAATATGTAATTTGCTACTTCCGGTTAAGAAAATATCACTTCCAGTCTCATATGAAAGCTTTCTTTGCACTTATGAGAAAACAGGTAGCCTAAACACCGATTCCAAACTTTTATGGTTTCTAGGTACTTTCACTTAAAATGGGTAGTTATCAACAACTTTTGTTTTAGAAAATTTTACTTCTGATGTCATATGAAAGGATATTTAATACTGAATAATAAATATATGGTTTCTATATACTTTTCCTTAAAAAAGAGAGGTAATTTGCTACTTCCGGTTTAGAAAATGTCACTTCCTGTATCATATGATAGCTTTCTTTGCACTTATGAGAAAACAGGTAGCCTTAACACCGATTCCAAACTTTTATGGTTTCTATGTATTTTCGGTTGATATTTTTCAAGGTCATATGTCATCCAACCTTTTAAAAAGACCCCATGACTTTATTATGTACCAGTATAAAATAATTAAATAACCTAAAATTTCACAATTTCAGGGGCAATAATTCATAAAAGATGTCATCATATGGCTTTGGACCGAATGTACCATTTCTTATTTTCAATAATCCAAACATTTTGCATAGTTCGTTTTCTACCTACCTTTTATAGTTTGTGAGGAGACGCACACACAAGCAAAGGGCAAAATTTAGAACATGACATTGAACAATGACCTTGACCCCATTTTATTTTTGGTGGACCAAGGACTTATAAACGAGATATCTCTTATTACTTACGGTTAATGATCTACATTTATATATCACTTATGTCAAATATAAATAGGGAAATAAATCTCATATGAAGTCTTTGCATTGCTTCTGTTAAAATTGACCAAGCATCCGGAGGATTTAACCAGCAATTTGAAAAAAAAACAAACTTTTTCGATGTTTTTTACGGTTACGGACGACATGTGCAAGAAAACAGTGTTTTGAGAAAAATTCTTACAATAAATATATCAATTTATCATAATATGCAGAACATCAAAGCGACATCGTGCGAAACCACTATACACTACAAGAACAAAATTTGGCGGAAGAAAAAAAATAATAATCAAAACAAAATCATAAGGAAAAGTTGAAAGACCTAATGATAACATCAGTATATGTTTACCATTCACACAAATCGTGTTTCAGGATTACTATTACCTTCATCAGGTACACTCGAGACCAATGGTTTTGAACAGTTGACGTTGGTGAACATTACTTGAGTGGTAGCCTTGTCTTTGACCAATTCACTTAGTTCTTAGAAATGACGTATGGGCAGAGAGAGTTAGAAGGGACCAATTAAGTCATAAATCGATCAAAACAGAATAACAAGACTAAGAAGAAAAACTACGAAATGAAAAACAGCACTCTACAAAAGACTACACAGTTGATATTACAGAGAGGCGAAAGTGTAACAATGAGTGCCGTTGGTTTTTTTTTTTTTTTTTTTTTTTTGCATACAATTGAGTGTCCAAATTGCAATTATTCATTTGATTTTTTTTCAGAAATTATTTTTTTTTCATCAAAAAGTTTGATTTACATGTTGAAATATCTGATTATATGTGAATTAAAACTAATTCTGAAAAGTAAACTATGAAAGAACCATGTAAAAAATCTAAATAACAACTAACTTTACTATTTGCATTTATCTGAACAAAAATCTTATTCAAACATCAAATTGATCTTGCCCTCAAACTGACACCTGAAGCTTTTTTTACAAACCATACTACCAATCGCAATATTTTTCATATGTATCATATGTTTAGGTCTATATTGACGAAAGATATTCATTTTATTTCTGTATAGGTTGCATTTGAATTCTACCCTAAAACAAATATACTTATAAACATCACTCAGAAAGTATATAACATTAAGATGAGGTAGTTTTTGTTGTTAGTTCAGCAGTGCAACCATGACTCATATTTGATACTCTATGTATCTACTAAGTAAAATTATTTTTGAACAATAAAATTGAAGTTGGCTAATTTACCGATTTTTCTTTGAATATTAGACATCATTTCTGTTATTAGACTACATAAGGTATTTCAAGCAGGAAATATCCACATAAAAAGACACAAGAAGTTCATATAGATTTCAAAGAACATCAACGGCACCAATGTCTCGTTAGTGGTGATCAAGGCCAAAATATTTGAAAATCCAAAACTTACTATAAAATGAAGAGCTTATAAACCAAAAGGGAGAATTGTTAACTCAGTATTATTTATTTATAATAGTGTTCATGTAAGAAGGTACATATTAAATGAAAATGTAAATACTGTGGTTATAATTAAGACAAAGAGGTAATGAGTGTTTACTAAAAATAGAGGTCGTCTTACATTACCACTGCAGAAAAAGTTTCTATTTTGATTCTAGTATCTATTCAAGTAAAAATATGAAATAAATAAAGTCAGCAATTTTGGCAATGTGGATCATTTATCAGCTTTTGTATTTTATAATGAATATACATTTCTATGACTTCCTTTATATTCATAGAACTTTATAACGATCAGCTTTATTGATGTAAAAATTCCTGGCTGCAAGTAAGTATCAAATTGTCGCACACTGTTAAATCGAGTTGCATCTAAACCACAGTCAGGGATTAATTCCTTTCGTATTATGGATAACAGTGTGTCTTCCTAAAATAACAGTTTACCAAAGTTACTATTTTCATTGGGATACTGCGTTTAGTATTAGTACAATTAAAAGTTCATTGATTAGAAAATAAATTATGTGGTTCCATTTGTTCCTTTACCTGTTTTGCCGTGTTAATGTCAGGTTTTTTTTACGACGTACGAGTTTAAATGTCCCTTTGGTATCTTTCGCCTCTCTTCTTTAAAGATTTTCAGGGTTGATGTTGCCTCTAATTGTCCTACGAGTTGTGCTTTATTTCAATAGACTATAGAAAAGCGAAATTAAACTGGGAGTACAATCATGTATATTTATTAATAATTATAGCACTATGACTATTCAATATTTTTCAAAAGACGGATAAGAATGGCATTCATTATCAACAATAATTAGTCAAACTTGTTGCTTTATTTTGAAATATAACCTGGAATATCAGTACAGTCTCTAGTTCTGCATCGTCCATTACAATAGTTTGGACAAAGAACTCGTAGTGCTGAATCGCTGCAAAGCTGTATTTCACAGTCCACCTTATGACATGCGTACTCAGAGAAATAATCACCACAAGCATTAGGTGTGTTAAGATGTGTCGATACTACTGGAAGTACAGTTGTATTTGGTATCATTGAACTGGCGGTAGTCTGGAGCTCGGCTGTTGAAGGAAATAATTAAGAATATTGTTATTGTTATAATAATATCTCAACTTGCAGTCATTTTCTGAACAGTTATTTTTTTATCGATGTTACTCCCTGGTAAAAAAAATAATTAAACAAAGAGCGAATTGTGTATTTAATACTGTGTCGAAGTGTTAAATAGATCAATATCATAGTATTCTAAATGACACAATGTGATTAACTACGCCAACAGTCCTAACAACAATCAATTCAAAAATAAATACACCTTCCCCAAATTACCAATGCGCGTTTAAAATTATTTACTAGGTAGGACTAGTTCCATATAAGTAGTTAAAAACATTGAGACAGGTTAATTTCAACCAGTTGTTGCTTTCAAGTAAAATACGCTGGCAATATATTAATAAAGATATTGCTCGTTATGCATATATATTCAACTATTCAGCTGTTTTGTTAAAAATGCATAAAATGTTATTTCCTTTTGTTCTGATGAGCCAATCGTTTTATGTGTTTCGCTTTTTCAAAAACCAGCGTACCACATGAAAGTTATTCCAGAAACACGAGGTATGTGTAGCGAACCGTTAAGATAACCACTTAATCGATGCCACTGTTGGTGGATGTTTTGTCCCCCCGAGGTATCATCAGACCAGTAGTCACACCTTTTTTGTTGACATGAAATATCATTGAAATGTCCTTTTTCGGTAAATTTACTGCTTATGAACTGTAGAATTAATCGAAACACTGTGATTTTCAATCCTTATGAAGATATTGCCTTTGACGTATTTGCACAGCTTTTCGATTGAAAATGCTCGCTCAGCTTCGTATTCGATTAAGCCTTCAAATAGTTTTTCGAACAGCGGTATACTACTGTTGCCTTTATTTGATTCGAGCCTAATGTAGTCAAAAAAGCGCTTCTGAAAGCAGAAGAGGAATTATGCAATCATAAGTCAACATATGGCTTCAATGAAGGTTCAGATAGCCTAATTTGGTACATGTTAAAATTTCAACCAGTCGAATGTGTGCTCAATATTTTCCTTTGTTTATATACTAATAGAAAAACAAAGGATATGGGGTATCCATCCATGACACAAAATCAGTACATGCACAGCAAAAAAATAGTATGCTTAATATTGTATATTCTTCAATAGTGAATAATTAAATCTTTAACAAACAAGTGTTAGGTAAGAATCTCTTCTCACGTCGACATTAACAGTTATTTGTTCATGCAATACCACCGATAAACAATACATTCATGACAATTTTGTTATTTGCAAGAACTACTATGGAAAAAACTATTCGTGTTTTAGTAATTAAAAAGTGTGTCTCACAAAATGACACTGCTGAACAATTTTATCGTTTGACTCAAATTACTCACATGTAACAGTGGCTGCAGAGTTCGTGGTAGTCTGACCAGAAGGACTAGTTAATATTACTATTGGTGCTGAAATAGTATTTCAAAAACCAAGATTTGATTGTTTCCAACCAATTTCTAAAAATTCAAGCTTTATAACACAATTAACCGTTTAATATTGTTAGCCTGTAGACTTTAAAACTTTCAAGATATCATGATATAATGAAAGATGAACAGGGTTCGTTTATTTAAGACATCCTTAATAGATAACTGGATTCTCTGCACCACTCAACTTGCCTGAGATTTGTGAATAAGGTCTTTATTGGTGATCTATTCAATCCTAACTTATCATTGATATGGTTATAATTATAAATTAAATATTAACAAAACGTTGGATTTTTCGATTACCTTATCTTAGAGCGTCACTGACGAGTGTTTTGTAGACGAAACGCGCGACTTGCGTACATTTTTTTAGCCTGGCATCTATGATGAGTTTATTTATATATGTTTTTATAAGTATGTTAAAACCAATAGATATCTTTATCACCTTCAAATAGTGCTATCTAATAACTATATATTTCAAGAAAAAATTGGAGAGTGAACACAAATGAATTAAAAAAGATATAACGAACAATTTGAGAAAAGAAATTTGTCGATATATTTAACAGTTGCGAAGGAACAGTCATAACAAGTAAAGGAGTGTCCAAGTAGACAATTCTTGCAAAGATACGTCTTCGGTTAATGATTGTCAGTAGAAAAAAAAAACGTATGAACTGTTTGATATCATATACCAAATTTCTTTTTGATATCTTACAAAAATCATAATACAGCGCAACATCATGGCGCTAGAAACAAAAATATAGTTATTAAGAGAAACAACTTCTATATTCAGAAATAGGTTTGTATTAACCGTTTGCTAAATAATAGCACTAAATATGTGAAAAAGGTAAAACACTTATATGTTTTATTGAGAATATATTAATGAAAATGGTTGATATAAAACTTTCAGCAATTTCTATAAAAAACTAACACTTAGGTCAACACTAAATCACTCACCTTGTGTTATCACTGGGCTTTCTGAAATATTAAGAGGGGTCTTTACTACAACAACAATATCTATTCGACAGTTTCAGAATTAGTATGTTGGTTGAACAGTTATATGAAGATTACATTACATGTTATTCAGGGGTTGAATTTTGATTGGATGTTATTGACCAATCGTTCTGGTGATCAATTTAAAATTTATTACCAGTGTTTGGAACTCCTTTCAATCGGAGACCAACACATGACTTGATACCCAAACACGACTCTTTTGAACTTTAGTGCGTTAATTATTTTAACTCCAAGGGGTATCTGGGATATGGAAAATTGGTTAACGCTTTGTAAAGACCCCTTCCTTACAGAACCTACCTATCGTATTATTGTTTATTTGTTCTCACATTGAACATGCATGAAATATGTGCCACTACATGTTAACATACATTATCGATCAATCAATTATTGATCGATATTGGTTTGATTCCAAGGTTTTTGGTCTTTCATGCGCACTGCAATAGGTGTCATACGATTAGTGTAAACCAACTCATTTTTGCGAGAGATTTATTTCGCGTCTTTCGCAAGGAGAAAAATAACTAGAATATAAATAGTCGAAAAACCTTGAATCTTTCCTTATTTAACTATTTATAACTACATCAAGTAAATTTGAAATTCGCTACATTACATTGCCTCGAAGTGGGCCAGAAAGTGCTAAACGCGAAATAAAGGATCCACCAAATAAGTTGGTTCATAGTATTTTGTTGTAGACTAATAATTGGTAGTATGCATAAGATAACTCACTCGGTATATTTCAAAGTAGGGTACATTTGTAGACATGCAACTAACCCTATATACAATACGTAAATTTCTTGACTCAGTCGAAAAATACATCGTAATTCCGGTAGATTTTCAGGTGAGTACATATTTGTTATGACATTTTTAACTTATTAACTGTGAACCAAGAAACATAGGAATGTCATCTTTCGGCTTAAAATAATCAATAAACTGTGCATTGATAAAAGTAACCATTGTTGTATTTCACAGACAGATAAAAACAAATACTAATAGCTAGAGAAAGTGGCATAATACCCCCCTTTGTATCCCATGGTGATTTGATATCTTACATGTATCATGCATTATGCTATACAAAGTTAACTTTCGGACTGAACATTGGGGGGGGGGGGGGGGGGGGACTTTACGGTATAGTAGTTGCATTATTAGCCAGACACATGGATAACAAGGTTAAAGTGACTTTTATATATATATCTCAAAAACTGTAAATAAAAAATAAAAACTTTATTCAAATATTTGTAATTGTATAATACTCACGGCATATTCCACATGTTTCAGGGCAGAAATGGTTCCGAATGTCGGGCATAGCGCATGCGCTTTCACCATTTTTCAAAGCGACAGAAATTACTAATATGCAGCCATATGTATCGATATCTTCACAATTGTCAGAAGAGGGTGTTTTTAAAAGCTGGCAACCAGTGGCATTAGTACCTGAAACACAACTAGGATATTTCAATTCGCGAACATTAACAAGGATTTATCACTCACACATATGTTTTACCCGGCAATCTTCGTTATGTTCCGGTCCGAATTGAGTAGCCTCTAATTCAGTGGTTGTCGTTGGTTGCTGTTTGCATGTCATATTTGTTTTTCGTTGCAGGTGTTGTCATTCAGTTACTCGGTGGTTTTCGTTTGTCTACTATAGTTGAATTTGATTAGTTTAGCATAAGTCAGGTCTTTGGTTTTCGCGTGCGTATTGTTTCGCATTCTGTCATGCAGGGGTATTTTAAAGCTCATTATACGGTAAGGGTTGTTTAATCGACCCAGAAGACAGCACTTTAGTGTTGACATGAAATATCATTGATAGGTTAATTTTCTGTAAATCAACTACTTATATTGAAAACACTTAGGTTTTCTACACCAAGACAGACTGCCAAAGACATATTTGGCACAACATTTCGGAATTTTCGGTTTTAAATGCTATTCAACTTCGTATCTGATTTTGACTCCCAATTTTTTTATTCGAGCGCCACGGAAGAATCTAACGCGTGTCTCGCGTACTGAACTATAAGACTGGTATCTATTTGGAAACTTTTTTTACTCATTGTTGAAGGCCGAACGGCGACCTATACTTACCTCCTCGTCCTTTTGTCGTTGATGATTAGGCGTCTTATTGGCAATTATACCGCATCTCCTTAGTTTTATATATGTGAGACACACTTTCCTTATTTTGAAGACCGCTGGGGGCCTCGATGGCCAAGTGATCTCAGTAGTTTCTTTAAAGTTATTGCTAGCCTGTCAGCTATCGTGTCAGGTGCGTACTATTCCTATTCTAATTTACCATAATTGCCAGTTTTCTTGCCGAAACTGGTCGCAACGATGCTACAAAGAGTGCTAAAAGGAGAGTTAAACAACAACAACCAATGAATCATTCAAAACCCTTTGTTTTTTTTCACACCTTCATGTTATTTGATGTTTCATTGCATCGCTTTATTGATATATATTCTTTTATTCATAATGTCGAGTTAGCAACAAAGATGAGCAATATACACATCACATATCAAACAATAATTTACAGCAATACAAACTTTCATCAAACACCTATCAAAGATTATCAAAATGAGTTGTAGCAATAAGTTAGATAATATATTCTGATTACACTGTCTCACCATTTTTACAAAGCTCCCTGTTACAGTTTTCAGTCAAACAACCCATTGCACAAGGCGTTCCAAACATATCTTTAAATGATTGCTGTCGTTTGCCTATAACAGGTATAGGTGTACTGCCTTTTGTTGGAATGGCGACATTTCCTTTAGACGTAGTGTTTGAAGCACAATACTGTAACAAAATTGTTTGGGGGTTTATAAATGCCATTGGCATGTTCATCAACTGAAATATGTTCTTTGTAGAATTACCCTTCATAACTGTTGTTTGCTTTATGCCCAGTGGCATGCGTGTTCAGGACTAAGACAAATAAACAAAAAATGCAATAGGTTGGTCAAAATAACGGTTAGAACGGATGAAATACGTGAAATTTGGAATGCCACTAGAAAATGAGGGGATATGGACAGCAATTCAGCTTTGGAACAGGTCACCTACGGACCACTAAAAGAGTTTTGGAAGGGTTTTACGTGCAATGAGTGTGGCACCGGATTAAACGTTCCCATTCTGACTGGATGTGGCTGCGAATTAAAAAATCCCGCACAGTAAAACGAACTTCAGACTTTGGCAGGGGTGTTACTGCAATCGAGTTTAATGGACATCGGCAAAAAAAAATCATTTAATTTAATAAAACAAAATTGTTAAAGATTATCAAATTACCATATCCAACATTAGTTTTCAGATATTGAAATTTGATTGATTGATTGTTGGTTGCTTAACGACTAGTGTCAAATATATCATGAATGTTCAGGAAGAGAACAAATTAACAATGAATACAATAGGTAGGTCCTGTAAAAGAGGCCGTTCGGGATGAACGTCAGGGAAATTTTGACTGCCACGGTCAAATGAGGGTATATTGGACAGGGAGAGAAATTTAGCCTTGCAACAGGCCACCTATAGAACCTTCAAAGAGTTGTTGCAAGGGTTCTTAACGCGCAAAGAGCGTGGCACGAGGCTTCGGATTTAACGCCCCCATTTTGACCGGACGTGGCTGCGAACTTGTACATCCAGCACAGCCAAACGGACGCCCCACTTTGGCGAGGGTTTTACTGCCAGTCGGAGGAAAACTAATGGTGACCATATTTCTATTCCCCAATCACCCTTGGGAGGTATTAAAACTTGAGTTCTAGAAATAGAAACCCTGTTTATAAACAAATTCCCCCACTCAACTATGTTTTGAGGTTTTATTGCTTATAAAGCTTACGGTTTATAGGACTATACTATAACTAATTTTCAGGAGCAATTTATTTTTTGGTAAAATATAAATCTTCGCAAATATATCAATCTTCGCAAATATATCAATCTACGCAAATATATCAAACTTCTCAAATATATCAATCATATATCAATCTTCGATCTTATTCAAAATGAATGCATTACCAAAATTTAAAAATCAATTGCCGCTGTTAAAAATTTCGTTTACAGCATCTTCCATGCTAACCATGCATTGTTAGAATCTATCAATTTTCCTTGGAGTTTTGGTATTTTTGCTTTTTTCTCTGTTTCAGAATCCAAAGGAGTATGGCTTAATTTATTGTTCGTACCTCAAAATGAAAATTACATCAAAGCACTTTTTAACCAATCACAACGTTTTGTATTACACTTTTGAAAAAATTACCTAGATTGCATTATATTCAGAAATGGCGAACTCAGATTCCATTTATTTAATGAAACAGTTGACTGTTTCTCTGAAAAATTCGAACATACGGTATTGTACTAGTGTTGTTTGATCTCTATATTGTTGTGTGTCGTTTGATTGCTGTCGCCTCGTTGATATATTTATCATTGTTTAATTGTTTATACAAGTCCCCAAATTGTTATGAGATTAACTTTGAGATTTCAAAACGTCCTATGGAAATTAAAAACACTGACACAATGGAATGAAAGCAATGTAATAAAACCTTAATTTTTATACCTGCGGGAATGATACTTTCTGTATTATTTTATCAACAATGTTGTTATCAAATACAGATAATCTTGATCTTTATACTTGCATTCTTTGGTGCACATCCTAATCTATATCTAACTTCTTCATTGAATCTAAAGGCTTGTGTGTAGCATTGCTGAAATGAATAAATAGCATTATGGTTATTTAAATCTAGCGGCAAACATTTCATGCAAATCGCAAAACTTGATGTCAATGCCTAAATGTTTCACATAAAACAAATGTAAATCTTCAGTTGTGTTTGTGTTTAGTACCGATTCGATTAATATATATATAGTTAGTTTTATTAAAATGCTACAAATCCACTGTTCTATGTTAGAGGAAGGTTGAGCACATACAAACCTGCTTAACCAAGCGACTTTTTGTATGTGCCTGTCCCATGCGCGGAAAATGTAATAGAAGTACTAGGCTAAAGTCTTCCAAAACTGTTGTTCATTAAATGTTATTAGCTTACATAAAGCTGCTCGTTTCTATATTGTAAAGTTTCACAACTTGTTTACCGAGGCATTCTACAGCTACTATACGGATTATCATTTATCATGCCATTTTGTTTTTCTTTGTTGACATATTTGTTTGTTTTTATAGTGATTAAGATTATACCACAATGTTGATTGTTGTACCCCTGACATTTTCACCTATTATGTCTGTTTGTTTTGTTCAGACATTGTTGTCAATATAATGAAATTTTATGCAACTGTCATACAAGTGAGAGGTTTAGCTAGCTATAAAACCAGGTTTAATCAACCATTTTCTACATAAAGAAATTCCTGTACCAAGTCAGGAAGTATAACAGTTTCAATTCGTTTGATGTGTTTGAGCGTTTGATTTTGTCGTCTGATAGGGGACTTAAAGTTTTGGATAATCCTTGGAGTTCGGTATTTTTGTTGTTTTACTTTTTACTCATTATTGAAAGTAATACTTTGACCTGTTGTTGTCTCCCCTTTCGATATCAGTAGTATCAGTGCCAATATAAAGGCAAAATGAAGATGTTGCAAAGGTTGACATCATATACGACGTCGATTAGTCAACTTCGATTCATAAATGTATGAGAAAAGAAATAGTCCGTGTGCTTCACGTGTAATCCTAACCACGCCTTTGTAACTTCACCTAAGACATGGAGTTGAAAGTACTTTAACACGTTTTAAATTTCGTGCGTCTCAAGCGCTATTCCATATTTACATTAAAGAATGAACACTCAAAGCCAAAAACATATTAAGCCATGACTGTATAAATACGTAGAAAAGTAAGGAACTATGCGAATTTACGAGAAACCGAATTTATTAGATAGAATAGTTTTATTTCCTATAACGTCGTTGCCTGGTATTCCGATTAGGTTCGAAATTTTAGTTTGCATGAAGAAAAAAAAACTTACAGAATCTTGTGAACAAATTTTCACTTTTTTACAGTCTGAAGGTTTAAGTACATCATTACAGCTCAGACAACGGATGCCACGTTCTTCTGCAGAAAATAAATATATTGGCAATGCTATACAGTCATGTTTGTTTAATTATCTGTGCATTTTTTGAGTTATTGCATTGCATATTACAAAAACTTATTATACGATAGAATGCATGAGATGTATTTGGCAAAACATTTTGGAATGTTGGTCCTCAATGCTCTCCAACTTCGTTGTTTATTTAGCCTTTTAACTTTTATGATATGAGCGTCACTGATGAGTCTTTTGAAGACGAAATGCGCGTCTGGCGCACAAAATTTAAAGCGAGCTTATTTATTTTGTTAATAAGCTCTCATAATACAAAGGTAAGGTAAGGTAGAGTATTTATTTTCTATGATTAATGAAAGTGCAGAGTAGGAGAAACGTAATTATCATTTAAGCGTAGGGCGTTATTTATTAGTTGATTAATTGAAAACTGTGTATCTCTAAAGGGTACACCAGTTAAACAACCGCATGGTCTAGATAAGAATAGAAATTGACTGATTGATTGTTGGTTGCTTAACGTCCAGTGGCAAATATTTCATGCATATCCAGGACGAGAACAAATTAACAATAAATACAATAGGTAGGTTCTGTAATAGGGGCTTCTGGGATTAAGGTCGGAGAAATTTAGACTGCCACGGGAAATGAGGATATATTGGATAGGGACAGAAGTTTAGCCTTGTCCAGGTCACCTACGGACCCCTCAAAGAGTTGTTGCAAGGGTTCTTAACGTGCAAAGAGCGTGGCACTCTCTTTACACGAGGCATCGGATTTAACGTCCCCATTCTGACCGGACGTGGCTGCAAATTTGTACATCCCGCACAGCCAAACGGACGCCCCACTTTAGCAAGGGTTTTACTGCCGGTCGGAGGAAGACCAATGGTGACCATACTTCTATTCCCCAGTCACCCTTGGGGGTGATAAGAATAGAGGATATTTGTCCAGACCTTATAGTGGTATAACATTTTACAAGTTGTATCAAAATAAAGGTATCTGGTGAATGTTGTCGTTCCTTGTTGTTTGTCTTTCTTTGATATGATTGATTGGTGTTTAACACCACTTTCAGCACTATTAACTAATTCGTAGCTGTCAGTCTTCATCGGTAGAGGTAGCCGAACCACCGACAGTCGGCAGGAAAACTGACAATCCTAGTATTTTAGTCGAACGCACCTACAACGTGCGAGGTCCGAACTCATAAACTCAGTGTTTATAGGCTAGTGATATATTTTCTTATGATGACTCTGTTATTGATGGTTTGTGTGGTCTGTTGTACTGGTCAGTTAAGTGTCTCCTCTGTATCACCACAACATCCATTCCATCGTCACTGACAACTATCCTATTGATATAAAGACACGCGACAAAGATAAGTACTTTTTTCAATATTTAATATTGACTAGGATTGTGTACAATGGAATTCCCTTGAATTTGTGGAATTTTCAAATGAAAATTAGCATAATAAACAGTATTGCATTAGAATAGTAGTTTACATTTAAAGTATTAAAAGATACTAACGTTTTGGTACATCACATAAATCTTTATTGCAGAAAGACGTACTACAACAGTGTCGACATGTGATCGCTGAATTCTGTCTTTTACCCAAACCGATTGATATCGGGTTACATTGCTGGAAGTTTAAAATATGTCAAATGAAATAAAATAACCATTTCGCTATAAACGAAAAATATAAAAAAAAAAATTACACATTGCTTGTTGAAAATTGACACGAAACACGGGGAATAATGAGCTTTAAGCACGTGATTAAACTTTGCTGAAGACATCGCACGAAAATAACCCTTTACCGTCCACCACAAAGTGCAAAAATGGACAAAAGACACAATATTTACGCTGTATTAGTAAAGTAAAATAATGTTAGTTTGTCTCATTATGGCATGACGGGGTGACTTAACCATCTAATTTCACGTCATATACGCTTTTACTTGGTGTAAAACATTGACAGACAAATGGCATCGTTTATTTTTCGGAACAGCTTTAACCCGAAATATAATAAAGTTTTGAGATGTAGCGCGTGGGCGAATAAGGTTTAAAAGATGAGATTTAATGCATAGAATTTTGTGAAATTTGCCAACAGATTTGAAATATAGTAAAATTTATGAGGTATCATATTTTTTACAGAAAATTGCTTAACTATAAATAAATATAACATCGTAATAGAAATTAAAAACACTCATAATTGTTCAATATTGCTTTACGATTAACCAATGTCTCATAAATACTAATCATTCATTCATGCACATGAAAATAGATCACTTTAAATAGTAAAACCTCTTTTTTAGTGTCAATCTCACAATAATTTGACCATTTCGTTACAGAATCACATTGAAATCATACATTATATAAACAACATGTTATTTTGAAGCAAAATTATGATAAATTTCAAGTTAACGCTGTTGCGTGATTTTCTGACATGAATCTGTTTAATTAAAATTGAAGACATGGATTAACGTTATAAGTACGCACATCTCGATCAAAGCACATGGAATTGAATGATGTAATTCCATCTGGCGAAATCATCCGTTCTGTTTTACACATCTGAAATAGTAAATATCATCTACATTAGAAGGCCGGTGGTAGACACCTTTGATATATGCTAGCCTTAGTCTTATGTGTTGATTTTGTTTCGTTTCTGTTTTTTTTATTTGATATTTATAATCTTCCTTTTTCTATACATTTAAATTTTCCTTTTCTGTTTCTAAGGTCTTTTTTTGTTTTTGGGGTTAATAAAACACATTCAATAAATAAATCTGAAATAGCCAATTCATATTTGAAGGTACATATTGCAGGAAAGGAGAAGAAGTTAAGGCATGTTTGTAGTATTGAATATGTCTTAAACTTTCAGGACACTTAAAATCTGGTAATAGACCGACGATGATATCGCTAAACGTTGTTTCACATTTATAATTTCTGTTATTTTTGAGTCAAACAAATTAACATGCGATTTTTTTTTTATTTATATTTCTCCTTTTTTGTTACTTTTTTTTCAGACAGCACAGACACATAAGATGTGTATCGACACTAAGTTATACGACACTATCTATACAGAAATAATAAACATACCTCGTGCGATCCACATTCCACAATATTCCCACAGTCAGCCGGATGAGGTAAATTTTGACAAGAATAACATGTTACTGCATCTAGTTAATTAATAAATGACATATGAGGATAAAAGAGGATCTGGAGGGAAAATCCTTCATTTCTTTATTCTTAAAATTATGTTCTCTATTCTGTATCTTTTTAACCCATTGTTCTCTATTCTGTATCTTTTTAACCCATTGTTCTCTATTCTGTATCTTTTTAACCCATTGTTTTCTATTCTGCATCATTTTAACCCATTGTTCTCTATTCTGTATCTTTTTAACCCATTGTTCTCTATTCTGTTTTTTTTTTAACCCATTGTTCTCTATTCTGTATCTTTTTAACCCATTGTTCTCTATTCTGTATCTTTTTAACCCATTGTTTTCTATTCTGCATCTTTTTAACCCATTGTTCTCTATTCTGTATCTTTTTAACCCATTGTTCTCTATTCTGTATCTTTTTAACCCATTGTTCTCTATTCTGTATCTTTTTAACCCATTGTTCTTTATTCTGTATCTTTTTAACCCATTGTTCTCTATTCTGTATCTTTTTAACCCATTGTTCTCTATTCTGTATCTTTTTAACCCATTCTCTATTCTGTATCTTTTTAACCCATTGTCTATTCTGTATCTTTTTAACTCATTGTTCTCTATTCTGTATCTTTTTAACTCATTGTTCTCTATTCTGTATCTGTTTAACCCATTGTTCTCTATTCTGTATCTTTTTAACCCATTGTTCTCTATTCTTCATACTTTAACACCCGATTATTCTGTATTCTGTATTCTGTATTGTTTTGACCTTTGTTCTGCTCCTTTTGCCCGTTATTCTTTATTCTATAAACCCCAGCCAGACGCTCATATAATAAATACTGCAGTCACTAATACTTGAAATAACTTTTTAAGGATGTTTGTTCCTCTTGTTTTTTTGAATTTTTGCCAGACTTTCGGAATCCTCTGGTTTTGTCAATGTATTGCTATTAAAAAATGTTGCCCGCTAAACCCTACTAAGTTTCATAATTTTATTACATATAGTTTAAAAAGTCGTATTTGAAAATCTTATAAAATCCTTGTTAATTTTGCATGGTTTTTGAAACAAAAAAGAAGCGACTAATGTTAAAAGTATGAAAAATCCAGGGAGAATCATTTCCCGCCAAATTTCAATGGCTTATATAGATCTCCAAAACAAGCACACGGATCCTTCATTTTTCTGCCCTTTTAGTTCCTTTATTTATAAACTATCATGTTAAACAGTCTTTTAAAAAGGTTGTTATTTTGAAACAGAGTAGCGAACATCCTTAATGTCCAATTACAAATCAAATGCATATGCAGGAGGAAACATGAATATAAAAACTGCTTTTTACTTGACCGATACGTTAGCGGGATTTTTAACTTGCTAATTCATAAGGTAGCAATCCGCTAGAAGATTGATTGATTGATTGGTGATTGCTTTACGCCGCATCAGCACAAAAAGGCTATATCGCGACGAGAGCTATTTTAAATATTATAACAAGACGTTTTTTGTTTTTTTTAAACAGACAAAAAGTCTTTCAATTTACTAAAACTTTAGTTTAAAGCGAATATACTTATTTACAAATAAAAATTTATCAATAAGATTACATGATACAGACTTAAAATCATTTTAAACTAATACAGCAAATTCAAATTTTGGAATATATTCCAATTTCTTTTAAAAAAGAAACAATTGTTTTAACAGGAATATTATTAAACAAATCATACATATTATTTACATAAAAATGTTTTTTTTCCGGATATCGGAAAAGTCTATACATTCAATTAAAATATGTTTTATTGTACACTTGCAATCACAAGGTCTACACACTGGTTGAATTCCGTTTTTTTAAATATACTCGTGTGTTATTCTAGCATGGCCAATACGGCATCCCGCTAGAAGACATGCCACCCTAACCGGACAAATTTCGGACTCCAGTCTATGTTCTTATTCAAACTCCTTAACGACGGGTGCTAATCAGAGAAATAGCAAATACCGATGATAAAGAGTTTGACTTGACACGGCGGAGAATCGAACCCACAACAAAATATCGCACTCGAAGCCGCATAACAAGCTTCAAAGTTTAATATTTCTTTCCAAGTTTATCAAACTTTTGATGCTGGTTAACTCTTCTCAAATTTCGTTTCAGACAGTGGAAAAGTAAAAATGAAAAAAAAAATGTAAATGTACTTATTATTCTTCATTCAATCTCGGGTTTCAAGGACATCTACGATTACGCGTGAATAATTACATTACATGTACGTTTCATTAGAACCCGTAATTTTGGTTGGCTGACAATAATCGCGAGGCACTCCAATATCATATTTTATCTTACCTCCTATACATTTCTAGGAATATGATTGGTTAAAAGCGTCCGCGTGGAGACCGTGTATATTCCATATTAGGTTAGTAGGGAGGCGGGGCTTATTTCAATACACGGTTAGTAGTGGAGTTATGACTTTGGCACTATTTGCTTATTTGAATGTATTGAAAGTGATGTTTAATATTGTTATATCTAGGTTGTTGATATTAAATTGTTATTGTTGACATTAATTTTTTTTGTGCATACCAATGGAAGTAGGTTCGTTCTTAAAATTGAACACTTTAATATAAACATAAGAAGATGTGGTATGATTGCAAATGAGACAACTCTAGTCTAAATTCAACAAATAAAGATAGTCGGTAAGATAAGTTCGTTACATAGTGTGCTAGTGACCTAATACGATATATTCGAGCTTCGCTCGCACCCCATATGGAATTTACTGACCTTGTATATATCGTATTAGGTCACTAACACACTATGTAACTAATATTATTTCCGTATAAAATACAACAGCTATGATTGCACGTGCTATCCGTAACTTAAAATAATGCATTAAAAAAAAAACAATCGAAAAGCTTGATATGTAACTTTTTATTTCGTGGTTGTAGCAATAATGTAATTATAAGAATTAAATAATTCTTTTTATAATTTTATAGGGTTGTAAAAGCGTTGATCGTGCTCACATTTTTAATATGAATCGCGGAAATTGAACGTTAGCATTCAATTCTTAAATTTAAATTTATTAAACAATAATGTAATGCTATATAATAACCTCATTCAAGTTGACATTATCTTTAAATTCTCACAATCTGTGGTAAATCGGTACTCTGACGTAGAATAATAAATTCTGACAATCTTGGGTAAATCGGTACTCTGACGTAGAAGAATAAATTCTGACAATCTAAGGTAAATCGGTTCTCTGACGTAGAATACTAAATTATCACTTACTAAATTTAGATAGTGTAATGGTTTTGATAGAAATGAACAAAGGTCAGATAAGGTCTAATACATGTACATGTAACTTGTAAACCGGTGTCACCATTTTAGTATAACGTTAACCGTTTATAGTCCATGCTAAATTTGGAAAGTCGGTTTAGTTTTAAAAAAAAAATATTCAACTGTCACTTTTTAAACCTGTTATGAAAGTACTTCATAGAAGTATACATGATTAAATGTTCCTGTTAATGTCGGTACGGTTAACAAATATGCATGTTACAAAAGTAATTTGAATACATTTTATTCCTTTTCATCTTATCTTTAAAAAATATGTTGGTCCATCTTCAAAATAAATTTAATAAGAGAAAAAAAAGTTAAAACTGAATCTATGGAAAAAGGGTTATAAATTTCAAGTTCTCCTCAAATTTCTCACGGCCAATACGCACGTGTATAACCGTGAAGAATACTTCTTACCTGTATAAAAAACTTAGAGGAAATTGTCGTGTCTACAATTTTTTTGGTATCGTTTCTAAATTGATTGTTGGTTGCTTAACCTCCAGTGACAAATATTTGCAGCATGATCAGGTCGATATCGGTATTAAATGTCAATTTCAGCGTTAAAAAATGTTTTTCATTTATAGTTGTTTTTTGTTGCTTAACGTCAAGTGGCAAATATTTCATGCATGTTCAGGACGAGAAGAAATAATTACAATAGGTAGGTCCTGTAATAGAGGCCGTCCGGGATGAAGGTCTGGGAAATTTGGACTGCAACTGTTGAAATGAGGATATATTGGATAGGGACACAAATATAGCCTTGCAACATGCCGCCTACGGGTCCGTCATAGAGTAGTTGCAGGGGTTCTTAAAGACGCTCTCTTTACACAAGGCATCGGATTAAACGTCTACATTCTGACCGGACGTGGCTGCAAACTTGTACATCCCGCAAAGCCAAACGAACGCCCCACTTTGGCGAGGGTTTTACTGCCGGTCGGATGAAGAACAATGGTGACAATATTTCTATTCCCCAGTCACCCTGTGGAGTTATTTCATTTAAAATTTATCTATTTTAAATGAAAAAAAAAAGCTTGCTATGTTCTAAATGTTTAAATGTAGGCAATGTGATATTGCATTGCTTAAGTTAACAGCGGAACTTGAAAAGACGTTTTCATTTACGTATCTTATAAAATATGCTTTTTTAATTTTTTGGGGAAAATTTTAAATGTATTCTGAATACACTGTCGGCATTGCTGTTGTTGAAATGCAATATGTTAGTTTGAGTTTCAATGAAGTTTTTCACGACGCCATAGCAAAGCACATTAATGTTGTGAATACAGTTGTCCATTCCTTAAGATACAATATGATGGAGTTATTTCCACCTCATCTCAATTAGTAAGGGTCTGGATGGGGGTCCTTTAAATACTAAGATACCATACAACAGTTTATTTTAAATAAATTTCTTTCTTTTATTCTAAAGTATTGTTTTGAACATTACTCGTACAATCGGCTCTGCATTCAAATTTCAACCCTTCTCTGGAATGAATTTTGACATCAGTTGTATTTACATTTGTTTTCAATAACCGTTTTCGTATACAAACAATTGATTGTCGTTTTGTCATTAAGATTACTACTATTAAATCAAGATTTCATCCATTTGATAATACAAATGATATTAATAATACGTTACCTGCGCACTTCCAGTATAGGATGAACAATAAAACAACTAGAAAAGAAAAAGATAATCAAAACCGTTTCGAAATATAATGATTTAAATTTCAGTTTTTAAAAAGGTAGAAA